GGAGTATTGTGTTTTTAATTAATTTCGAACTTATGATCATCGATGTCGATTAATTTGATGAGCATTTTGTGTTTTCCGGTAACTGCAGGAGCATCCAGAGTGGGAGATCAAGAACAGGTTTGTGTTTTTCCAAAGGGCAAAAGAATCTGTGCCGTGCAAGGAGATTCCTTCTCTGCAGCTCATCAACCAGACACTCAGTTACGCTCGGGAGTTGGAGCGCATTGTGTAAAACAAATGTGCCTTTGCAAAAGAGCGTTTTTTTTTTTCCTCACTTTGTTTATCCGAGTGTCATTTCTAGGATAATGGCTAACTCAGATATTGATGAAAAACGCATTTCGTTATATTGTCGGTCATTTTGCAAATGGTCACAAATGCACTCTGTTCAGTCTGTACTTCTGAGACTCCATATTTGCTGCCTTGTGTTGTGTTCTTTCTTTTATATTCCAGAAATCCATTGAACTTTAACAATGTCTTTATTTACATTTTGTTGAAATGTGTTGATGAAAACCACTAAATAGTGTTGTTGGTAATCTTATTTTGTCAAAATGTGAAGTTTTAATTTTTCTTAGATATAGTGCTCTCACTTCAATTCTTTAACTATCACCTCATTAGAAAATTTGCAGATGATTTTTGTGTCATTTAGGTCTAGGTTGTTCTGTAAAGTTTAGGTTGGTTAGGCTTCAACTCCACTCATTAACACTTATAAAAAGATGATTTATTTAACAAGTCAAGCACGACTAGATAAAGGCAAAGTCTCGAGTTCGAGTCCATGACCACAACAATACCAATTTGTTTTACAAAAAATGTAATTTGTGGAAGAATGGAATATTATTTTCTCAAAATATTTCAACTAATTAGTAAAAAATGAAATGAATAATTAAATTGTCATTTTTTTTTTCAAACGACAATAATATAATAACTAAAAATCTCAAAAGAGTACAATTAACACACTGGAACCAGAGGACTGGACCAATCTCTCTTGTCAACACGCACAAGGTGGTAACAACACAAAACAAAACTCTAAAAAAGCGACACAAACTCGATATAGGAAAGAAAAACAGACATAGCTGCACTAAATAAACGAAATAAAACAACAAAAAAACACCCAAAAACAACACACACCTAAAAAATAAAAAATAGAGTAAAAACTTCCCTAAATCGAGCAACAGAAATCCAAAACCACTTGAACCGTCTACCAATTCACACCCCAGCAAAAAAAGTCAACTGAACAACAAAATTAAGCTCCAGACCCGAAAACTACAGACAGTCCACCGCCTAGACGAATTTCCGACTCGTGTCTGAGCCCCGAAGACCTTCATCAACGGGGAAAAGAAGGAGGAGAGCCCCGAAGACCCGAAAACTTATCGATTTTTGTTAAGTGAAGGGAAAGAAGAAAAATCTCATATAACAGTTGGGGCCAATTTGCAATAACGGCAAAAGAAAATATACAGAACAGAACCCTCACCTCAGCTTGAACCTCAAAAACC